AATTGAGTGTATTAAAATGTTTTAAAGATTAAGAAGTACCGTTATTAGTACCAGTATTAAATGAAACGGTATTTTACCGGTATTTTTTAAGTAACTATCCGGTACGGTATTGGTACCGCGTACCAGTATCCAACCCTATTGGCAGTGCCATGTGGGTATTCCCTTGTCATAACCATATAACAAAGAAAAACAATGTACAATATTACATTTTGGAGAGGGGAGGGAGAAGAAATTAAGTATACTTAACTAGTGTTTTCAATAAGATTTTCAATAGGAGGAAATATATTTGGAACAGCAGGAAACCAATCTCGTCGAGGGGTATGGGGGCCGCCTCAGGCCCCCAGCGGGTCCAGGGCAGAGCCCTGGTAGGGGGCCCATGGGGGCGAAGCCCCCCGCCCGAAAACGAAAATTGGCATTTTTGACTCATTTTTCTTACCTCTCAGGCCAACAAAAGTACCATATTTTGTCACATTTCTGTCCTATCCATTACATAATTTAATCTAATAAAGCCATATAAAAACTGTTTTTATCCTTTCGCTGATTTGTTATATGGACTTTTGACAGACTGAGGTTTTTGTTCTGAATACTAGGTGTCTATAAAACATTAAGACAACTTACGTATGAAATTCTTGCACAGACAATTGTCTGTGCTAGAAATTCATACTGAAAATGCTACATAATTAGTCCCCTTTCACATAAAGTGGTCAGGATGTTTATTCAAAATTAAAATAATTTATTTATAATTCTAAGAACTTTAAGACACCTTTGGTACATTACCAAAAATTAAATAAAAATATTCTTCTGGAATCTTGGACTAAACTATCACAAACTTTTAAATGCTTCACTATTTTGTACAGTGCAAAATAATAAAGAAAATGGATACAAATTTCTACTTCATAAAAATCTTCTTCAATGGGCAAAGTAATACTGTTACTGTATTTCAAGAGATCTAACACAAATAATCGAGAATACAAATTTTACATTTCCAGTTTGAGGAATTTCTTTAAGAATTCAAACGTCTCAGTCACGACTAAAAATATGTGACTTTCACTCGTAAGGTCTTAAAATTATATCGGTCTAGATATAAATATTTGCTGTTGTGTTTGATATTTTAATCTTGACCTAGCTTGTGGAGTGACAGTGAATGTTAAAAACATTTTCCTATTGTTTGCCGTAGATACTCTACGCCAATGAAGTCTACAATTCTCAATAATCTCGTGCCAATTTTGGTCATATCTTTGAAGCTTAAGTAATAATCGCGATTGTTGATTTGTGAATTTTTTATGAGGTTGGAATTATTCATTAAAAATATATTCTTTAAACTTTACTCTCGGCGTCTCGCACTTTGTAGCATAGATTTTGACCAAATAAAACTTCCATGAAAAAGAGCGCGCTCAAGGGAAGTTACTCTAGATCATGTAGATAGTTGCGATAAAATCTACGGATTTCACGTACCAACCCCGGAAAAACTCCAAAGACGGATATCTCATAGCCGGGAAAATTTCTCGTACAGGCCGGTTGCCGGCTCTTATTGAAAACACTGCTTAACATGAGACTTTGTTTCTTCATCTTAATTAATATCATCTTATTTTTAACCAATAAATTTTTACAATATTTTCAATATAAGCAAATGAAATCAGCAGCTATGCTTTGTAGTTTTCTACTTTTATTTTTTAAAAAACGATTCCGATTTTAATATTGTTTGTTTATAATGTCATTGTATTTAATTTCTGTTTTTAATTAAATGATATTTAATTAACCCCTAAATCTATGTTTTTCACCTTGCATATACCCCTTCAAACGGAAAAGTTTAATCCCCTAACTGCTCCAGGCTATAAGAAACCTCTACCTGGACAGCTGTGTGCGTTCAAGCGAGAATTGATTTCCTGTAGTTAATTAACACCTCTTCATGTGTTTAATAAACAAAAATACTTACATCTGTGTGCATTGAATAAACAAGTCTGATATTCTTATCCCGACTGACAAAACATGACGGTAGGAAATTCTGAAAATCGGAAATTTTAGGGTGATTTTTTAGGTCACCTGAGTCACTCAGGTGACCTATTGCTATCCGTTTTTGTCCGTCGTCGTGCGATGTGCGTTAACATTTGAACATTTTCAGCTTCTTCTCTGAAACCGCTCAACCAATTTCAACCAAATTTGGCATATAGCATCTATTGGTGAAGGGGAAAAAAAATTGTGAATTTCATGGTCCCTGCCTCCCTGGGGCCTGAGGGGTGGGGCTAAAACCACCAAAAATAATGCAATCTTTAAAAATCTTCTTCTTTACTCCTGTACATCAAGCAGTCAAACTGTTGGCATCATTGTAATAAGCATTGAGCCCTCTACCAAAATTGTGAAATTCATGGCCCCAGGGTCAGGGGTTCTGGCCCCAGGGTGAGGCTATATAGATCATATAGTGAAAGTGCATTATTTCTTTGAAAATCTTCTTCTCTGCTCCTGGGTATTGAATAAAGTTAATAAGTACATAGTTATGAAGAGCAAGAGTGCCTCTTCCAAAATTGTGAAATTCATGGCCCCAGGGTCAGGGGTTCTGGTGTTAGGGCGGGGCTCTATTGATTATATAGTGAAAATGCATTAATTCTTTGAAAATCTTCTTCTCTGCTCCTGGGTATTAAATAAAGTAACTAAGTACATAGTTATGATGAGCAAGAGTGCCTCTTCCAAAATTGTGAAATTCATGGCCCCAGGGTCAGGGGTTCTGGTGTAAGGGCGGGGCTCTATTGATTATATAGTGAAAATGCATTAATTCTTTGAAAATCTTCTTCTCTGCTCCTGGATATTAAATAAAGTAACTAAGTACATAGTTATGATAAGCAAGAGTGCTTCTACCAAAATTGTGAATTTCATGGCCCCAGGGTCAGGGGTTCTGGTGTTAGGGCGGGGCTCTATTGATTATATAGTGAAAATGCATTGATTCTTTGAAAATCTTCTTCTCTGCTACTGGAGATTATTTAAACAAACTACATGTAAGTGCATGATTATGATAGGCAAAGATGCCTCTTAAAATTTTTAAATATTTGGCCTCAGTTTTTGGGGTTCTTGAGGAGGGGGGGGGGGGGGCTCTATTGATTATATACTGAAAAATCATTAATTCTATTAATTAATCATTGATTAATCCCGTCTGCTCCTTAGTGTTGAGCTGATAAATAAATTGCTTAGCTATGATGAAAATGGGAGCTTCGAACAGAATTTTTAAATCTTGTGGTCCTAGGGTCAGGGGTTCTGGCATAATGAAGGGGGGTGGGGGGGGGGCTTTTGATAATATAGTAGAAAAGTTTTAATTCTTTAAAATCCATAGTTATGATGATGAGGGTAACTCTTCCAAATTTGTAAATTTCTTGACCCTTGGTCTTGGGTTCTGGTGTTAGGGTAAGGCTTTGTTGAATCTGTAGTGAAAATGCATTGTACCTGTGAAATTCTTCTCTGCTTCTGGGCATATCGGAAGCAAACTGAGTAAAAGTTTAAATGATATAAGTAAGCGTATTCCTACCAGATTTTTGAACACCTGGACCATTGGTCTAGCATTCTGGTCCTGGGCAGGGCTCTATTAATTTGTATTCTACTGAGAGAAGTTATTCCCCTTTTCCATTCACCTTTGATAATTAATCACTGTAAATAATGTATTTGAAAGGTTAATAGAATAAGATAATTATGCAAGAATGTTTATTGTATAATTCAAAAAGTACTTTCTTAGTTTTAATAATCAGGTAGACCTGTAAGTAATAGATAAATAAAAATGAGACAAAAATAACTTATCTTATTAAAAGTTCTTCAAAGACCATAAGAGAGGTCAATGCTAGAGGTTTTAATATGGGTTTAAAAATAGTACAGGAGCACTAATAGTTTGTTAATAGTCTGCATGGTGATAGTGTTAAGTGGGGGACAGATTGAACTTAATTTATGAGTTGATACTGAATACTAGACTAATTATTTTGTTGATCCTGATCTTCCTACTTCTCTTGCTTTAGGGTAACAAAGCTTCATCTATCAGTGTATTTAACTTCTAAATTGTTGTATTATACTCAGGTGACCGTTAAGGCCCTTGGGCCTCTTGTTTTTCAAAGCGGGTTTTTAAGGGCAATTTTGCTTTGTTGGGTCAAAAATTGGGGATGATCGATTTTTGAGGGTGAAAATGATGACACGCCGCGGGTCAGTATGAGTGGTGGGTGAGAGGTCAGTTTTGCTGGTGTCATTGACCCACAGAATGCGGGTCACTTGGCAGTTATGTATAGGGGATCTCAGATATAGTGAGTGAATAATCGAATATGGTGGACAAATTCCTTTTATGAATCATGTTCAGCTTTAAAACATTTTACCCATGTGGAACACTCCCATTATTAACTTATTGGACACCTACAGGTAAATTGGTCTCATTCTGCTTTGCTGACTTAATTGCCAGGTGAAAGCTTCCAGATATAATGTAGATTGTAAATTGTTCAAATTATGAACCCTGGGGATAGGGTGAGTGTGCAATAAAGGATCGAAGTTTTACATTGAAATATATGAAAAATCTTTAAAAACTTCTCAAGAACCACTGACCAGAAAAAAATTAAAACTTAATATGTGAAGGCTTCCTGAGGTAGTGTAAATTCTAAACTGTTCAACTCATGGCCCCTGGGGTAGCTTGGGACCACAGTAGGGGATCAAAGTCTAGCATGGAACTGTATAAGAAATTTTTTGAAAACTTGTTAAGAAACACAATAGAACTTAGTTTGCAAACATTCCTATGTTGTGTGAATATTTTTTTTTAATCATGGATCCTGTGTCAGAGTTGGCAAAAATCAAATTTTACATAGTGCATGTATAAAGGAAAAGAATTTTCTATTCCATAACTGTGAGTTATAATTTAGGGTCACAATTTTCCAAGGGAATTTAAAAATCTTCTGAAAAACAGCAGGGTTTAAATAACTCAGGTGAGCATTGGGGCCCATGGGCCTCTTGTTTAATATCCTGTTTCAATTTTTCTCTTTTCACAGGAAGAAAAAGAAGAAGAGCAAAGATAGAGAAACAAAGAAAGTATTTGAGCAGATTTCATCACATTCAAAAAATGCAGATGATGAAGATAAACCGCACCATGAAGTGCGAGATATTAGAACCAAGGCTGAGATAGCTGCTGATAAAGCCAGAGAGAAGAGGGTATGATAAGGTTTATAAGCAGGGCTCTACATTAACATTTTTTCTTATTTGTTGATTTGGACAAGTGATTAGGAAATTTACTTGCATATGTAATTTTTTTTTTGTTCAAAAATTTTCAATAAAGAAATATTTGACAACTTGAGAAAAATACTGTAAATTAAAATGGAGTCTAACTCTACATTATATTCACTGAGTCTACCTTATCATTATTTTGACACGTAATAAATTTTAAAACTAATGTTGTATCATCCTGTCCTTTACATAAATAATCAGTCTACCTACCTACCTAGTCCTTGTTGCACCCGGAGCCACATAGGTCAAGGACTAGGGATTTCCGTTCTTCTCTTTTCCATCTCTCCCCAGGTAAGATTCATGTCTTTGAAGTCTTTTTCAACAGTTCGCCTCCATGTTGTTTTTGGTCGGTCTTTCCTCCTTTTCCCTTCTGGGGTCCACCCGAGTGCCACTCTTGTAATATCGTTTGTTGGCTTTCTTATGACATGGCCTGTCCATCTCTATCTGTATTTTCTTACTAATGTCCTCACATTTGTTGTTTTGGTTATTTCATACAGATTTTATTGGTAACTTTTGCTGGCCAGAATATCCTCAAGATCTTTCTGAGGCACCCATTATGGAAAGTTGATAGTTTGCTTATATTACTTTCTGTCATCCTCCAGCATTCAGCACCATACATTAAGACAGATATTACACAGCTATTATACAACTTGATCTTCTGCTGATGCTTTATGATTTCCATATTTTCTGGAGCTTGACAAAGGGTCCTCTGGCTTTACCTAATCTTGCTATAATGTCCTTGTTAGTGTCGCCATCTGATGTCACTACACTTCCCAGGTATGTAAAATATGATGTGTTTTTAATATCCTTTCCATTCAGTTGTATTTTGGGTGGGCTTTTTGTATCTAGGGACATTACTTCTGTTTTCTTTATGTTGATGTTCAAACCAATTTTGCTGGCATTATTTGTAAATTGGATGTTTTTGTTTGCATTTGTGTCGCCATTTGAGATAGTAAAGCCAGTTTGTTTGCATGATCTAAGTCTTCTAGATTGCTGAAAAGAGTCCACCTGATGTCTGTGTTGTCTTTACTGAGGGTTGATCTCATTATGCAATCTACTACTATGATGAATAATAGGGCTGACATCACACATCCTTGTTTACTCCTGATTTCACAAAAAAGCTTGTTTGAAGAGCTACCAATAGGACATACTGCATAGAATGCTTTTATTAGGTCAACTAATTTAGATGGTATACCATAGTGTCGTAGGATCTTTCACAAACTGTCTGTGTGAATGCTATCAAAAGCTTTTTCAAAGTCAATGAAATTAATGATGAGTTGCCTTTGCCATTCTGTGCATTGTCCTATTATGTTTCTTAATATAAATACTTGGTCACAGCAGCTCTTTTCTTTTCTGAAGAAGGCCTGTTGTTTCCTTTACTTGTTGTCCACTGCTGTCTTATCGTAGGTCGTGGGTTTGCTGCATAAAAATTCTTACAAGAAAACATATCCTGAAAATTTGATATAATGTTCCTTAGAATTTGTGGCATATTTTCTGAAATTTTTATTAAATTTGCCTACATGGTTTTAATGCTATATTATTGTAAACACGGTATAGTTTTAGACTATTTTTACGCTTTACTATAGAAATATATAGGAAAGTAATGTTTTTTAAAAAATTTTACCGAAAGAGTTTCTTTAGAAAAGGTTGGATAACTTTTTAAAGACGAAGACGAATTACTCAGAAATTTCAAAATATCAAGATGAGGTAAAATTAAAACTATTGAGGTAAAAAAATCAATATGTTTTCTCGCTAGTTTTTTTGTTAAATAATTTTAAAGTTTGCTTTTATATTGCCAAAATGTTGCGTTTATGGCGTTATTTATGACTTCAACATCATATATTGAATCGCTTTTACATATAAGTATCTTTATATTTGGAATATACAAGATCTAAAAGGTGACATGGATGCACACTGTAATTTTATTCAGCATTTCACTTATTGCAGAAACGTGTTAGGAAGAACAGCAACTTATCTACTCTAGTATTATGGAATTCATATTCTGCCCACGAAGTCAGAATGAACGGTATATTGATATAAACATTCTTCGTGCATTAGCGATAATAAATTAATACAAGTAATGTTAGGATGTTCAAGTTCATTATTAAGATTTCAAGTATAACATGTAAATTTTATCACTTAATTCGAAATTGGTAAAGGAAAAAAAACACCTACTACTGAGGAGGGGGGTTACCGGCAGTGTTCTTTTTATATCAGTCATAATTCAGTATATAGTCCGAACTCTCAAAAATTTGTTCTTTTTTGTTTTGTTGTTTTTTTTTTATCAATTTTTCATCGGCAAAATGTAAAATACTTGCATTCATCTTATACACAGACAGCTTAATTTTGTTACAGAAAAAATTGTACTTGATATTTGTATTTCGTAATACATGTAGTATACTAATATATGTTTAGAGTGTCATAAAGGTCCAATATGCTGGGTGTTTGTATAAATTTATTTTAACATGTTTAATGCATTTCATTATGATAAATCAATTTCTTGCTAGTCTGCATATAGAGAACGACTTGATCAGATTAAAATGCAAAATAATTTTTTTAAAAAAGAGGAAAACGCATGTAATTTAATTTCATCGTTTTGAGTGTTGAGGATTGATTTTATCCTAAAAATTACGCACCTTTCCTTCGTTGCAATTTACGTGCATACATACAGCCTTTCAATTTTTTCGGCTTAGCAATTTACGATAACTTTCATTTTGCATGCCATAACTTTAACACTGACTCATTTTGATTGACCTTTAGCAGTTTAGTATAATTTACAATTATAAATTATTCCTTGCATTTTGCATCGCATTTATTATGTTTTGTTAGTTTGTTTTTACACATTACACATATAATGAGAGCAGAATTCAAACTTACAATACTCTTGGTTCATACATTTACGACAATACAATTACGGACAATAACATGTACTTTCTATGCTTCGTACAGACTAGATTCTATTGCTGAAGTAATATTCAGAGAAATAAACGGGAAGCAATGCAATGTCGCCTTTGTGACGTAACTGACGTCATAATCAAAAGTGCACAAAACAACTGCTCGAATCGTCAAAATTGTGTACTGAAACTGATGACAAAAGCAAACCCGCGATCTACCTTAATTCTGTTTACAATTATTTTACTAAAGATCTTGCTTGGTATAGAGAGTAAAGCAATGCCTCTCCAATTGTTACAGTTTATGAGATCTTCTTTTTACCTCACCTTAGCTGAAAGCTCAAGTGAGCTTTTCTGATCACCCGTGGTCTGTCATGTAAACTTTTCACATTTTCAACTTTTGAACAACCACTAGGCCAATTCTAACCAAAGCTGGTACAAAGCATCCTTGGGTGAAGGTGAGTTTAAATTATTAAAATGAAGGGTCAAGCCCCCCTTCCAAGTGGAAGATAATTAAGAAAAGACAAAAATAGGGTGGGGTCATTAAAAAATATTCTCAAGAACCACTGGGGCAGAAAAATTGAAAGTTATGTGGAAGCTTCCTGAGTTAGTGTAGATTCTAAATTGTTCAAATCATGCCCCCCCCCCCCCCCAGAGTAGGGTGGGGCCATAATAGGGAATCAAAGTTTTAAATTGAAACTAGGAAAAAATTTTAAAAATCTTCTTCTCAGGACTCACTGGGCCAGAAAAGCTGAAACTTAAGTAGAAGTCTCCTGAGATAGTGTAGATTCTAAATTGTTGAAATCATGCCCCCAGGGTAGGGTGGGGCCACAATAGGGAATCACGGCAACCATGAAGGTTATTTTTAGAAAAAAAATTGCCAATATCTAGTTGATTAAAGTCAAGTATTTTTATTGTTTTTCTTGATTTGTTGATCAAGATTGATCATGTCAACCTATCATTAGTGAATATTGAGCATTTTTCAGCATTTTCTGCATTTAAAATGTAATCCAAATGTACCCTTGGCCATGGTTACCACTTACTTAGAGATATATTCTACAAGCAGAGCTTTTTCAAAAAGCTTACCATCTTTAGCAAAAACCTTAAACAGTAAACTGACCTAAACCTATCAGGCCGTATAATTCTTGAAAATTTCTTGGCTTTGTATTTCTTCATTAGATTTTTCTGACATAAGCCGTATCAAGTGAAAGGCTAACAGATGCTCGGTTGTCTCCATAAACTTCGACTTTGCTGCCAAGATCATTTGGCAAACCTCGTCTGATTCTGTCACCTTTGTGATATCTAGATGAGGTACGAATTGGTCGAGGTGTGCTGAGTGCTGCCGAGATTAGAAAGACAGTGCAAAACAAAGGGAAAAAGAATACATACAAGCTGCAAAGCTGGCATGCAATAAAGATCAATTCTGTTGACAATGAAAATAAAGAAACATTTTTTAGCTCACCTCGACGAAGTTGAGATGAGCTAATGCTATACCCCCGGCATCGGCGTTAGCGTCGGCGTCCAGGTTAATGTTTTTGGAGCAAGTCCATTCCCAAGTAACTATAAGCCCTACCTTGACCAAACTTGCATGGATGATGCATCTTGGGATGTACGCTAACCAACCTGCTTCGGTTGCTGGATTCGACCTAGATTTTCCATGAGTGAATTTTAGCCATATTTTAACCAAATTAGCATGGATGATGTAGCTAGGGATGGTCACTTCCAGACTTGCTTTGGATTCTGAATCTGATCTGCATTTTCCAGATGAGTGACCAGGATTATTTTTGGAGTTGCTATGTAACATTATTACCTGTTGTGATTAAACTTGCATAGATTGTGTATCTAAGGATGAAAACTTCCAGACTTACATTGGATGTTGGAACTGACCAAAATTTTCTTGATTAGTAAACAGGATAAACATTTTTTGTACAGGTCTATTTCCAAGTAGCTATAAGTTCTACTTAAACCAAACTTGCATGGATATTGATCTTGGGATGTACACTAACTAAAAAAAGAATATGATGTGAAATTTGCCTT